TTATTCGCGAAAAGCATCCAGGGGATGCAAAGGTTACAAAAGTATGCTCCTACTCAAAGTGGAAGGAGCTGACAAAGTCTAAGAGCACTCAACCTGCGGAATTATGAGTATTTAGAAGTTGCAAAGATGCTTCTGAGGAAAAAAAAAAGCAAGAAAATTTGGAATTTAATTAAATTAAAACTAAAGCACTTAGGTGTAATTTGAAGTAAAGAATTATGTCTTGTTTAATAATTTACTCTTGTGTTCATTAGAGGATAGAGAAATATATACTTAGCTACTATTCTTATCCCCAAATTCTGATTTGATTGTGTTTTTAATATCTAAAGTAAGATAATCATTTGAATTGCAAATCATTCACATCCCCAAAGTCCACTTGCTGGGCTAAACATCAACCTTTGAAATGCATGAGAATTTGACCATTCAGTTTGGGTTGAGCCGGAATTGAATCCTAATGCAATACATCAGTAAGCACCATGTGGATGTATTGCAGGTTACCAAAATTCAGGGCTAGTATTGGTACGCCTTAAATGCAATACTTACAGATATTTCATTTTTTAGAACTGTTTCTAGTTCATATTTTATTTTCTAGCTGTAACACCTTTACTTATACCTTGCTAATGATAGGTGCTACATACATTCTTTATACCCTCCCTGCATATAGTGATTAATGTACCTATGGAAACCCCAAAAAGAAAAAATGAAATATATACAATAATTATGATATAGAACTTACTCACTCACTTCTTTTGACAAAGGTAATTGTTCATTTGGCACGTAAGTTGGATTCTATCCGAGTACCAAGTGCACGTGCTATAATTATTTGGATGTTGGGCGAGTATAACTCCATGGGACATATAATTCCAAAGGTGCTACCCACAGTTCTCAAGTATCTTGCGTGGACCTTTTCTTCAGAAGCACCTGAAACAAAGCTCCAGATTCTTAATGCCATGGTCAAGGTAGATAACTACAAATTGCTTTTGTTTTTCCTCAACGAGCCTCTAGGTCAAATATTTCTTGATGTAATCTTCCACTTATCATAATTGTATTGCTTTTCAACTGTGGAAAAATCTTGCTCTTTTGTCATAATTATATTCCTTTCATGTTCTTGGCTTAAGTGGAATATTTGCCCATGGCTGTACTTTGCGTTGTTAAGACGAAAAGTGAATCTTAATCAAACAGCGGAGAAGGTGAGCGAACTGTTTAATGCCTTCAATTGTTATTGAGAAGCACATTTTACATTATAGGAACCTCATCTCCACTGTTGGTGATGATTCTTTTTGGTAGTTACTCCATTTTTTATGATGAAGATGCTTGAAATGAGATGCGAATTCTGTTATATATAGAACACGGTATGGTGTTTGTAAGTCTACATAAGCATCCAACAAAATTAAAATGACATGTATCTTTTTGACTTACTAACGATAGTTATGAGAGTATCTTTATTACCAGGAGTGTTTGGCTGTACTTTCAAGCACTCTTTTATATGATTAGTCTGCCCTAGGATATGATTGATGAGATGTGTCTGAACTGACATACTCTTGAGTTCCCATATTGAAATTTATTCTGCTCTTAGATTTGATATATGGGCTTTTTGAAAGTACAAGGTTAGATATTGCCGTAAACTCCTGTATTCATAGAGGAAGAGATGCTATCCAAATGTGCAACTAATCTGAGTCTTTAATGAAAGAATTTCTTTTGATTAGTCAATGGCTGGATTTCATGAACCTCAAATTGATAGTTCAGGAACCTTGTCTTATTTAATAACAATAGGCTTGTATTATTTTCAGGTCTTATTACAAGCAAAAGGGGAAGCACTGTCAACCTTCAAGACACTATTAAACTACGTACTTGAACTAGCTAAATGTGACTTGAGCTACGATATCCGCGACCGTGCACGTCTTCTACGGAATTTCCTGGCCCACTATGTAGGCACTCACGAGTTGGAAGAATCAGCTTTCCAAGCAGCTCCTGACAGCACATTGCATGTACTTGCAGGGCATTTATTTGGGAGAGAAACAAAACCCATTTCTTCAGAACCATTAGCTTATCGGTTTTATCTTCCTGGATCTCTTTCACAGATGGTTCTTCATGCTGCTCCAGGATATGAACATCTCCCACAGCCATGTAGTTTTTACAATGACACTGCTCAGGAATCCAATATGGTAAAAGATTTGAAGCAACCAGGGAATGGAGCCACTCATAGCGAATCGTATGAAACTGATGATGCTGACACTGTATCTGGATCACTAAATGAAGAAAGCACATCTGGTTACAATTCTCCAACTGGTTCAAGTGGAACTCAAGGTAGCCATGGGAGTGGGTCTGTAAGTGATGATGATGAGCACGGTGGTCCACTGATTCATCTTTCAGATAGTGGCAATGCTCATGAGAATCAGCCCAGACAAAGGTTTAATCAAAATTCTGACTCCAACGATCTTGGGGAATTAATGACTAAAAGAGCTCTTGACTCATGGTTGGATGACAATCCTTGTTCTACCCACAATTTGGTAGAATTGAATAATGTCTGTCAATCATTGGCCAGAATTTCAATTGGAGATATTAGTAGCAGAGTTAAACGTAAATCCTACACTTTGTTAGATCCTGCAAATGGAAATGGTTTGAGTGTGGAATACACATTTTCATCAGAGGTGTCAAGCATATCTCCTCTGCTTGTTTGTATACAGGTTTCATTTAGCAACAGTTCAGCGGAAGCTATGTCAAATTTACTGTTGGTTGAAGAAGATTCTGGCATAAGGGTAGAATCTTCAGATCAAGAGCTGACATCAGATGAGAGGTTAGTGTTGCACTTGCAATTTCCAATATGCACTTTTTTGGTTTATGGTCAATAATGCTTTTTTGGAACATGCCCTTTTGAAATTTCTTATGTCAGTCAACCTTTTCCTAGATAGAGAAGAGGAAATAGATGTAACGGTAAGATAGTTCTTTTAGTACTGCTGTCCTTTGTGAAGGTACTCTCTTTCTCATCTAGAAAGCCACTTCTTCAGTTCCTCACTTCTTCTTGTTGCTTTATGAACTAGTGGTCAAAAGTTCATTGTTTCACTAGTTTTCAGGCCTTCACTGAAATACTCAACCAGATAAAAATAGATATTATCATAGACATGTCTCAGACCAATACACAAATGTCAATACATTATTCATCTCTAGTCACGTACTTGGTACGATCTCAATACGTGATTTCCAGGTTCCTGAAAGGTCAGCTACCCTTTAATATGATTGAAAGTGTAGCATTTGGTATCTCTCATTCTGAGGCCCTTTATTTAAATAATTTCTTATTCTCCTCTATCACTATGAAATGTTCTGCTTTGTTCACATGCTGTCATTGTCTTTGCATTAAGATCGTTCTGTTTAGTCATGCTATAGCATCTTAGTCTTTCTTCAAGCTGGTGAGGGCGCTTACAGTGTTCATATTTGTTTGTAGTCCCAAGTTGTCCGTTAATGATGTGCCCACTCTAGTTCCAATGGAAGAAATTGCTAAGCTGGAGCCAGGTCAGATTATGCAGAGAATACTTCAGGCCCGATTCCACCATCATCTTTTGCCCCTTAAGCTGCTTTTGTGGTGCAATGGCAAGAAGTATCCTGTGAAGTTGAGGCCTGATATTGGGTATTTTCTAAAACCTCTTCTGATGGAAATCGATGTGTTCTCAAGCAAGGAATCTCAGCTTCCTGGAATGTTCGAATATATAAGGAGGTCAGTTATTATAATTTGTTTGTCTTTGGTGAAGTATATGTAAAGGTCAATTATTTATGACCTTGAACCCTTGAAATTTGGTTGGTTATTGTTTTGTGTCTCATGTCTGTGTTGAGAGATCAAGAGATTGTCGCTTTTATGAAACCAAATCCGATTGTGTTATTTGCAGACCTACTGATATTTCGTTAGAGTAAGTCAACCGAAATATGCCATTTCTGACTCTATATGAGTAAGAATGAGTGAATTGCTGGATAAATATTGAGCCCTCATTCCTCTAATCATGATTTGTGTGTGGGTGCCTGGTTCTGGAACCGTCATACAAATGAAGAAAGAAAGTAATAACCCTCTATTTATGACAATTTGAAGAGTTCTGGCCTGGTTCTGGTTCTGGAACCATCTTAGAAATATTTGTTTTAGTTGATTGTGTAGATGACAATTTGAAGTTCTCCACAATTTATTGTTCCATGGACTTTATTCTCATTGTTTGCTTAGCTTCATTTTATTGTTCGGGAAACTCTCTTCTGACCATTTTCCTATCACTTGCTACAGGTGTACTTTCGTCGACCATATTGAAGAACTTAATAAGCTTGAAAGCCCATTAGCGAAGGACAACTTCCTTGTGATCTGTGAGAATTTGGCTTTAAAGGTGCTTAGTAATGCCAATCTTTTTCTTGTATCTGTGGACATGCCTGTTGGTACCAACCTCGATGATACTTCAGGTTTACGGCTTAGATTCAGTGGCGAGATCTTAAGCAACTCAATCCCATGTTTAATTACTATTACTGTTGAAGGTAAATGCTCCGAACCGCTGGACACATCAGTAAAAGTCAACTGTGAAGAGACTGTTTTTGGCCTGAACTTTTTGAACAGGGTTGTGAATTTTTTGACTGAGCCTGCTCGTTTATGATGTGAATTTAGTTTTATCTGAAATGAACTGATCATTGGATTATTTTTCGGCCACAAGGGGTTAATGATGTATATTTTCCTTGTATTGTTTGTAGTCTTGGTGGCCGGCCAAACAATTGGACTTTCTCCCTATGAAGTCAAGTTACTGCAGATGTAAAGATGGATTGAACTGTTTGTTCTCTGTTGCTTTGCTTGTATCAATGCATTGGTGTTACTTATTAAATCCCAAAAGAAAAAAAGAAAGAAAAAATAGTGATGTTTTTAACAGAGCTTTCTAGATTTAACTTTTCAAAGGAAAAAAAGAAAGGAAAAAAGGAGTCAGGGGGACACTATATTCTCTAAATTGCCAGCCGAAACAAAATAAGCTATTGGTGCCGAAATAGACTTGCTTTCCCCTAGGGTTAAACTTGATACATTAGCCAAGTTCTCAACCCGAACAGACAAGCCAAAGCCCTCTTGACAAATATCGTTGAGTGGGAATTGTGGAACAGGTGGTTGTGACTCGTGAGACAATGTATAATGGAAACTGAAGTTGAAACTAAAAAATATTGGCAGCATACGCAGAAAAAGTGGTCGTTACTTCTTTGAGTTTATTAGTATATCTGTCAATTATAAGGGCAGTAAGTATCGGAATTCTGAGGCATAAGGTTGAACCTCTATCATCTTAGCAAGTGGACATTTCGTTTCCCCGCTTAGGCAATCCATCATTGACCTTTTCAGAGAGCAAGAGTTTGGCAATTGGCTGTATATCCATTCTACAAGTGATTCCATATCATCGGCAAAGTCTTTCATGTGCCATTGCATGAGCTTGGGAACCACTATCTTCTTCTTACTTGTCACTCCCACCGAAGCCTCCAAGTACTCCACTTTCGCTCTCTCCAATTCATTAACAACTTCATCTGGTGTGTAGATCCTTAGCTGCAACAGCACAACATTGTTAAGACTGAATGAACTTGCATTTCACTATGAGATTTTGTTGTGTTGTTGTAATCAACTTACTGCTGGTGAAGACCAGCTTCCTCGACATAGAGAAAACGTGACATTAGGTTCTGGATACCCGAGACCATAAGTATTCCTCAATACTCTTTCTTTATCATCTGTCAAACCCTTATAAATCCAAAATGATTGAATTCGTCAAGACAGAGAATGATATGAAAGCTCATAGTGTTTAAGTGTCATGTAAGCTTTGGCTAGAGCTGTGCACTCACATGTTCAGCGTCTCTTGGATGCCTGAGGATGAAGTGCTCGATGGCCAATGCATTAAGTACAATACCACCAACATTAATCGCAGCCTGCAAAAATACAAGCATGTCATGAACTACCATGAATTTGGAAAATTCAACTTTGCAGACCCACTTCTTTGACTTTTACAGAGTTTACAACTAAAAAGTTTGAATCAAGTGTCATTAAGTTGGTACTGAATACTACAAAATAAAATTAAGTTTTATTAAATTGGTAGTAAGGGATTACTAAATAGTTAGGATGAGAAACCTAGAGAAACTGTCTCAGAGTACAATGTGCGTACCTTATTCACGAGACACAGCTGTTCCTCCTCTGTAGAGGGCAAACCGTGTTGCAGAAATGCCTGAAGTGAGCATAAATAATGAATTACATTATCAGTGTTTGTCATGCATCAATTTGGGGGGATTTTCTATTACTTTTTCAAAATCTCTTTTCATGTCTTACAGTACATGCATTATGCAGACGTTATAGACATTGATCCAGAATGCCAACTTCTGCTTGTAGGTCAAGTAAGTTATGTCCACACTGCTAAGTTTATGCACCATAGACCTATAAAATTTCAAACAAAGAATGATGTAGTAGGGTTGACGAGAATGATGAAGTAATCTTGAAAAGTACCTCAACTTTCCCATCTCCGGAAGACATTCAGATATATGGCTTGTGTTGAGAGAAGTTCTTGAGACTTGGATGAAATTCTTATATGATCCAATCTCTCTTTGACTTCCATCAGTGTCTAGCAATATCCCGTAAGGATCAAGATTTGACGCGTAATCATTGAATGTAAACGTGGGTGCTGCTGCTGCTGCTGTCGTACAATTTAATGAGGTTTTGCATATGAAGCTGCTTTTGGGTTTCTTGGAGGAAATTAGAGACTGTTTGACAATAGCAGTAGATGAACCTTTGCTCTCCAGTGATGCTTTGTTCAACTTGAGATATACACTTATTAAGCATTTAATTACTTCTTCCGACAGCTTATTTGGCTTCTCTTTTTCTATTTCCATATCTGGTTGGCTATGGTGTCTGCGGCTTCTCGAACCTCTGGAACTACTCTCAGCGATTTCCTCTGCGCCCAAAAAATTGATAGTGTTAAAGGTATGCTCAATGATTTCAGGCCCATAGCAGAGAATTAGCTTTACCAGAAGAAATGGTGTGGAAGTCCAAGGCAGAGGCTCTTCGAATTCTATATTGTTTTCTGAGTTGTTGATAGTTTTGTGATTCAATATCTTTGACTGGTGGCGGTCGCGGAGGTAATGTTGGGTTTGAAATTACTTGTTTGAGCTGCAGCATTTCCCATCTTTCAGCCAACTCTTTCTCTCTGTACAGCTTCAGCTTCAGCACGTTTACTTTCCTCTCCAGCCAAACAATCTCTTCCTCCGCCATAACCACTTCTTCAAGCAGATGTTGAACCTACATATATAATTTCTTAAGTATTTTTTATGGAATGTTCTGTCAGTCAGTGTATATAATATAAGTTCAAAAAAATAGATAGATACCCTGCGGGGGAGGGAAGAGGCGCAGGGACAAGAGCGAACAGGTCCTTGTAACGCACACTGCAGAACTGTTTTCAGTTGAAGTTGCCCATCTAATTCTTGTCCAAGTTCTTCAACCTGTTATGATTCAGTTAAGACTTAAGAATATGAACATCTATCTAACAAGAAGAAATCTAAACCACCTGCTGTAGTATTAATTATGAACCTCTTCTTCAAGAATTAATCTTTTCTCTTTCTCGTCGCTCAGCAAGTCTTCGAATTTCATCATTCACCAACCCACCTGCTGAATCAAAACCATCCAATCCCACAAAATTAATTCCGTGGGTACGGTTATTATAAAAGAGAGGGTACTGACCTTAATTAATTGAGGGGGGAAGAATCTGTGAATATTTGGTGCATCCCCATATTTTTAAATATATGATAATGCAAAAGTAAACCCAAAATGAATGAACGTGAGTTTCACCTACAAACTTTAAGGACATTGTGAGGTGACTCAGACGTGATGTCCATGAACTGTTTAAACATTCAACCGTTTGTCTGGTAGAGCATCGCCAATTCGATACTCCTCTGGCTTTGACCCCCTTTTTTTTTTTAATTTAATTTTTTTTATTTTATATTTTATATTTAAAGAAAGTGATGTACCATGATCACGAGCATAATAGAAAAATTAATGAGACTTTTTTTGGAGAGCTGGGTATTACTTGAATAAATGAAAAACATTGATGCTTAAAATCCATGCGCTCTACCGACTGAGCTAAGAAGAATTTCACTGGTTTTAACAAATCCAATTATGATCTTCTTCGACAACAAAGGTTTCGGTAATGCCGACAAATCCTACTATTATATAGTTTGATCTTATGACAATTTAGAATTTATATTCCACAAGAATTCGATAATGACGAAACAGAGTGGAAAAAGAAACATGAGTGGAGAAGATAAAGGATTCAACCACGAGGATTCCGTTTGGGAAGAACTTGCAAATAATCACTTTTCTAACTGTTAATTTGTGTACCCTCAAAATCGGATAACAATTAAATTTGTAATTGGTTTTAAGGATACACGGATTAACTTGACACAAAGCGATAAATTAAGTTGCTATTGAGTAAATAAAGATAAGATAAATTCAAACCATACGAGTTGGATAATTTCAGCCTTGATGGAATAATTGCCCTCGAGCCGGGATCACCACGACCGGTGTCGATAAACAGAAGAACAAGAGCTTAAAGACAGAGAAATAATAATGTATTGCTTTTGAGTGCATATTACAATGTGTCAAAATAAATTATTAGACCCCCTTTATATAGTATGGGAGTCCTATTTTAGGTACAACTCTATAAAAGGTAAAAAAATCTTCTGATTCATTGATTGTCGGCTCCTTATCGATACGCGCCGAGATCCCCGCCATAATATTCGGCCGGTCCCGGATATTTCGGCTTTCTGTTGGCTATGCTGGATTATCTGACAATGTTCTTCGAAGTCGCTCGAGGCTAGAACCGATTCCGAGATCACGACCTCGATATTCTCGAAGGTAGGTGTCATGCCCCCGGGTTCTAGTCCAGTGGGACTTTGGCTCGATTTCGGTCCCTTGTTGCCATGTCTCGAGCTTGGCTTATCTTGTCGGAGGCTAGGATGCATCATGAGCTCAGTTTCACTCGTATACAGATAGTCCCCTCGTTTTTCGGAGAGTAAACGACGAGAAACGACATGAGCTTCTGATTGTTGCTTTGATGCACCGTGACAGAAACGACAAAACAACCGAAACGTCTCGTCAGTCAAGTCTTAATGGAATTAAATGCATGTCAGCCGCTGAAATACTGTAAATACCCCCCTTCTTTGTTCATTTTAACTTTACATCCAAACCTTCTACCCTCGTACCTGTAAGATTTCAATACTTTCTAGCACTTTTACTCCGGTTTTTCGAGATCCTTCGCAAGAATTTTTACCCGTCTTCATCTTAAGCCATCAGGTCGAATCTTTCAACTTTCTTTCTTTCAACACCTTTCTCAGATTTTCCTCTAATTTTTAAAGAAATGGCAAAGACTTCAAAAATCGTTCCCTAGAAAGAAACCCCTTATACTTCACGGCCGGCTACTGAGGCCGAGGAGACTGTTTCGCGCGCTGCCGTCGACGAACCAGTACCTGAACCCCCATTTGAAAATGTTCATCCCCGGAGGATGCTCGGTCAACGTCGATTTCAAGGTTGAAAAACCTTCCTCCATACAAGGCCGGTGTGAGGAGGTCTCGAGATACATCTGCTCGATCACTGAAGAAGTCCTCCCTACAGTCCAAAAAGACTGCAACTGGGCCGATAAGGACATAGTGATCCCCGACCCCGATGAAGCCATTACCACCCATGTCGAGGGATACCTAAGTATTTACACTTATCCCTTTACATTGGACCCGGTGGACCCGGTCATCATAGATTTCTATAAGAGGTACGAGGTATGCCTCGGTCATATTCATCCTTCGCTTTGGAGGATCGTGATCCTCCTCCGGTTCTTCATGAACAAAATCGATGGGTGCTCGATCACCATCGACCATATTCTTCGCTTATACAGTCCCCGAATCTTCCGGGGGGAGGACTAACAAAGCTAGTACATCGGGCCAGCAAAGCCATGTTCTCGAGCATCGACGAGGACGGGGATCGGGGTAGGTAAGGNTGAGGATCATGATCGGGGCTGGCAAGGCCATTTTGTCCGAGTGAGGACTTCAAACTTAATCCCAGCCGAGTGCATGCCATTCCCCGAGAAGTGGAATACCTCACGTAAGTATGACTTACTTTCGAATATTGATTTTACACTTACTTTTTTTTTTCTTACCGATGCTTTGTGGTAGTGCAGCCGTTGCACGGGTCCCGATCGCTGACCCTCGACTTAAGGAGTGGGTCGAGGGTATCGCATCACAGATGCCATATTCCGAGCGCTCGTGGCGCAAGCTCTCGAAGGGCCGTTGGGAGGCCTGTTCCCATGGTGAGACTTCTTTCCCGAGTAGGTATTATTATGATTCCTCTTTTAATATTAAGCCCTTACTCCCTTTATGTCAGGCCCCAAAATCGGGGAGTACGACCGGCGCTCAACCGAGTGAACCCGGCCGAGCAAGCCTGTTAAATTTTCTTCTACCCAACTCATCCATGAATAAGGATAATACATATTTTTGTTAATTAGACAATAAGGTGATCATGTACATAATACTAAACTATTTCATTAGTTACCTCATTTAATAATTCTCAAACATACACACACACACACACACACACACACCCCCTTCATGCTTCAAAGTGGAACAAGTGATTTAATCACAACACAACTAGTTTAACATTCCCAACACCCATACACAACCCACACTTAGTCTACAGTGCCTCTAAAAATACCAAAGAGTACAATGATAGTGCCGGCAACAAGGCTCTGGCTATACCTCAAAACACATAAGAAACAAAAGATGCACAACCCCGGAATGAGATGGGGCTCACCAAGTCAGCTGGGAAGAATGAGCACTGCTACCACTGGTCAGTATCGTCCGTTGTGGAACCACCTGCATCCATTAAAGATGCAGCGCCCCCGGCAAAAGGGATGTTAGTACATGT